TACATACCTTGTTTTTGACATGGCACCTCGTGTGAAATATATTGTCACGTTGTACTTCATCATCTTCTTTGGCTTGCACATTCAAAGCTCGCCTAATGACAAGCAGTTCTTCATCAACGGCATATTCCACCTTCTTTTCCCATTCCAAATACACATCTGGATCATTTTTGCCTTGAAATGGAGGAATCTTCATCTTGATGCTGCCTAAGTCATGATCTTACCGATCTCCCCACCTTCCTAGATTTTGGTCTCCTTTGTTAAATCTATATCTTTGACCCCCTCTACCTCTCATAAATCTGTCCATGCTGAAATTTGAGTTATGGGCATCATCATTGAATGCATCTTCATCATTGTCATCAAGATCATGATTATGCAAATTTGGACTTCCATTCTATATTTGGTATAACTTGGCAATGGCTGCATCTTGCTTCTCCATTTTGTCTTTAATTTCACCAAACATGATGTCTAGCCTCTGAAATTGTTGTTGCATAGCTTTGAGCATGAATGACTCATCCACTTGGAGTTTTCTGTCATCACCGCTTGGCATGATTGAAACCTGCAAGGAATGTTAGAAACGGAAAATAAAAGGACCTCACAACACTCCCTTACATGTTTCACTCCACCCTTTCACAGAATGGCACTCAACACTCGTGTTTTACACATTATAGAACTTGGCTTTTCTCTCAAGTGTTGCTCACACCTCTTGCCTTTTTCCCTCACTCAACTTTCCTCTTTCAGTTCATTATTGAACTAAACAAGCTCAATTCAAGTTATTTTGCAACAATCTAACTCCAACAAATTTGCAACAAGAGTTGAAGGAAACGAAAAGACACGAAGGAACCAACAAGAAAAGCAATAAAAGAAACAAACTAAAACGAATTAAAAGAAAAAAGAAGAAAAAATTGGAAATTCTATTAAAACACAATGCAGGAAAGACAAATCAGTTCTAACACTTCCTACTAGGTATTGACTTAACAATTCCTTAATGTAGCAGGATTCCTAACATAAGAAGGAATAAACAAAATTGCTATCTCCTTGTTTGAATAGAATTCAAAGAAAATTTCCCAACTCCTTATTGTAGTGGATTTCTATTCCTTAATGTAGTAGGATTCCTAACTTAGGAAGTAATAAACAAAATTGCTATTTCCTTGTTTCAACAGAATTCAAAGAACATTTCCAACTCCTTATTGTACTAGAATTCCTTCTTCCAACTTTTTACTGGAGTAGGATTCCTTCTTCTTTAAGGATTTGGCCACCAATTTCTTCTCTATATAAGGAATTCCAATCACATAATTGTGTTGCTTGCTTCTCTCTCTCCTTTTTTTTTTTGTGTCTTTTCTCTTCCTTTTTTTTTATATGACTTTTTTCTTCTTTTTTTTTAGTGCTTTTTCTCTCTCTCTCTCTCTCTCTCTCTCTCTCTCTCTCTCTCTCTCTCTTTTTCTTTTTAAACCAGCAACAGAGATTTAGAAAAGCAAAAATAAGAAAAAGAGGAATGACATTGATTTTTTTTTTTTTTTTGTTTTTTGAAGATAAAAACTGAAAATTAAAGATACGCAGACATGATTTAGGGATCTGATGCTTTGATACCAAGATGATGAGATCCCCAAAGAGAACAATGAGACCCACAGCACGACAAGGGATTTCTAAACTCCAGGAAAGCTAAATCAGGTTTATAATAGGACCTTGACCCGTTGTTTATGTCACAACAAGAACCAAAGGTAAAAACCTTGACCCGTTGTCTATGA